ACTCAGCAAATGTTCAATGGTTAACATGAGTTTTATCTTACAAAGTACCCCTGATATTAGAAAGAAACTGTAGAAATTCAATGTTTCATCGGCATGAATTCATCCCAGCTGGTCAACATCGCCTTTAGGATATTTAACAACTGAGAGCACAAGAAGACTCAGTTACTGCCATCCTAGAGACCACAAGAGGTAAGCCTTTGGGGCCCCAGGGAGGACCCCAGAAGGGAAGGAAGGTCTTAAGCAATGATCAATGTGCTTATTGCAAAAATCCTGGACACTGGAAAAATGAGTACCCAAATCACTGGGGACATTTTGACAGGAAAAGCCACCCTCCAGCTTGACAAATGGCTGAACAAGCTGCCTTGTCTGAAGAAGACTGAGGGTCTCTGGGGGTCAGTATGACTTGGCATTAACCTCTGCCATTCCTATTGCTCTCCCAGGAACCCTGGTTAAAAGTAACAGTTGGGGGGACAAAATTTGTGGATTTTCTGGTGGCTGCTGGGGCCACTTATTCCAGTGGCCAGTATGCCTCTGACTTCCCCATCGTCCCATTCAGTGACGATGACTGGAGTTGCAGGGAGGCCTGAGTTCTTCCTGAAACCCCTAGACTGTTTCATTGGGGGAGGGGGAGTGACACACTGCTTCCTATACATGCTTGCCTAGTATGTAACTAGTCAAAGTTACATGTACAGATAACATCTCTTACTGAAACCAAGAGTCTGCAGATGAAGTTTCCTCATGAACATGTCTGGTAGTTACTGATCCAAACTCTGAAGTTATTCTGGGGTGGTCCAAAGAGATCAACAATCAGGTAAACTCCTTCATGTGGGCTGACGAAACTCTGCAAAGAGCCAAGTGAGCATTCCCTGTCAAAGTCTGACTGCAGCCTGGGAGCCCACCACGCCACAGAAACCAATAATCCCTAAGGAAAAAGGCCCTTGAAGGCATAGCCCTCATCATAAGTAAATTCAAGGAACATGAACTAATTCTGCCACATCATTCGTGGTGGGGCGCTGTGGGTTAATGCGAGTTGGTTTGAACCGCAAGGTTGGTGGTTCAAGCTCACTAACTGCTCCTTGGAAACCCTATACAGGGTGTCTGTGGGTTGGAACTGACTCGATGTCACTTAACAACAACAACAACAACAACAATCTCATTACAATACCCCCATCCTTCTGGTTAAGTGTTGGTAGCAGCTGAGCAGAAGGTCCCTGACTTGGGGGTAGTTTGACTGAAGGATTGCAACTGAACAGTTGTGGTCCAGACACTCGGGCTGCTTCCTAGTCAAGCTCCACCCCTGAGGAACTGGCAGGGCTGCCTCAGGGGACAGGGAAGTTGCAAGGTCTTCCCTTGTATTTAGCTATGTCCTTTGGCTCAGGCTGCGCAACATTCTAGCTGCCCTAATCAGTGTTTCAGCTAGCTACCACTAGTTACAGTTTTTCTGATAAAGTTCCGCTTATTGCGGGCTCATTCAGTACAAGATGTTCTTGTACTCCTTACCCTCCCTCAAGCACCTCACCTTGAGCTGTGTATCAAATAAACTCTCTGCCTTGGTCTGTGCCGCAGTATCTCCATCAGAGTGCTGTATCCCACCTGGTCCCAATTTTACTATTGTCAAATGTATCTTATGTCTTTTTTTTAATTTCTCATCTCCCATCACCCCTACTCAGGTTTAATCTCTCTGCACAGGCCGTGGAGAATAGCCCATTGTCCGACGTGGCAGTTGGCCCCAGCAGTTAAGAAACCAGGTACTGGAGAGTATTGACTTGTTATGTCTGGTGGACTGTACATTATTTGTGGATGGAAATAATTACATGGAGAAAGGGACTTGGAGAACGGGGTATGCGATTGAGACCTTATAAGGCCTCGTGAGGGCAGTAGCCCTTCTGTTGGGAACCTTGGCCCAAGAGGCTGAACTGATTGCCTTAATGAGAGCATTAGAAATGTCAACAAGAAAGACTATGAATGTGTATGTTGTTATTGTTGAGTGTTGTCGATTCGGTTCCAACACGTAACGACCCTGTATAGGGTTTCCAACTTTGCAGTCCAGCGCATTAACCCACATCACCACCAGCTTGAAATTCTTCCCCTTTGACTTTGCGTTTTGCATGTGCATGGGACAATGTAGAATGAAGGGGACTCCTGATGGAAGCAACAGACGCATTAAGTGCGTCCCAGAAATCTTCTGGTTGCTGGATGCTGCTCAGCTTTCCTAGAAGGTGACAGTAATGTACTACCCTGACCATCAGAAAACCCCAAAAGCTTTGAAAGCTGAGCTGGTAGCCCCTTTGTTCCCATATGCAAACCTGACTGAGTACCAGCCTCATTATGTGCCAGAGGACTTGAGTCTGGCAGAGGCAACAGGATTTAAGAATGAAGTTGAGGGATGGAAAGTGAATGACAATAGAATGATTCTGGTTCCTAGAAAACCAGCCCCTGTTCTTCTTAAATGAGCCCATGAAATGGCCCACTGCAGGTAAGAGACCCTGGAGAAATTCATTTGGCCCTTGATCAAGGACAAGGGACTAGCAAAAATCTAGGAAGGTAGCTCTGTTTAACTGCCTCAAGAACAATCCCAAGTCAGACGTAGGACAGAAGGGTGGCGGGCACCAATGTCAGGGTGACAAGTGTTCGAACATTGGCAGGTTGATTTCATGCAGATGTCCCTGAGTTTGGACTCAAATATTGCTGAGTTTTATAGACGCCTTTCCTGGTTGGGTAGATGCTTTCCCCACCTGAACTGAGTGAGCTTCAGAAGTAGTGAAAATCATTTTGAGGAAGATTATGTTTAGGTTTGGACTTCCCAAAAGTGTTCAGAGTGACAACCGAGCAGCAGACACCTACAAATGAAATGGCAATTACACACAGCATGGAGACCCCACTGTTCTGGAAAGTGGAGAAAATGCACCATACTTAAAAGAAACACATTGCAAAACTCTGTCGGGAAATTCGTCTACATTGGGACCAGGCATTGCCCTTAGACCTTTTCCAAATTCAGGAATTGTTTGTTGAACAAACCTTTTCCTCCTGCCTTATTGGGGTTAGTATTTCTATAACATAGCTCAGCAGGGTGTGCCCTCCATGTATAAGGATGATGCGGTAGACTTCACCTATAATGATCTCTGGAGGTAGGTCCAGGACACTACTGAGATGGGCCAAGAAATGTTCCCCATCACCCTAGGAGCAGTAACACCCAGCACCCAGTGTTGGACCTAGTATGATGGTAACTAGAAAGACAGGGGTCCAGTTTCCTGCATACCAAGCTAGGATACCTGCTCCTCCTTTGAGTACATGTCCCCCAATGTGTGAATTTAAACAATTTGGTTCTGAATTGCAGCAAGATTCAGGAACTACCCTTCCAAAGCACCCATTGCAAATTACCAGTGGAGTGATTCTTCCTCTGGGAAATTAAGGCCTTCTCTTACATCCTGCTAATTCTATTAGAGCACCCTGTAGTTTTAGAAGGCTCACCACCTTCCTACCCCAGTGACAGGATCTGACAGATAGACCTCGTCACTGAATCACCCACAAGCTAGTGCTGCCCCCTGACTGCCATAGCGATCTCTGTCTGTTTGGTCCAGGTGAATAAGTGGTCCTGTCCCTTTCTGTGATGCCTGCTGTGGTCGTGACCCTAAATGTGGAAATCAGCAGACCCTTAATGCTACCTCCCAGGCTATCTATCACTGCCTTATACGTAGAGCTAGGCCAGTGGAGAGAGGTGGTCCTGAAAAATAGGGTGGCAATTGACTACCTGCTGCTAAAACATAATCAAGGTGTGGTGCTGTAGGATCAGCACTGGACTGCAAACCACAAATCGGCAGTTCAAACCCACCAGCTGCTCCTCGGAAACTCTATACAGGGTTACTATGAGTCAGAACCGACTCAAAGGCACTTAATAACAATAACATGGTATTTTAACCTCTCTGATAATTTGCAGTTCATAAAGGGGGGAAAAATGCATCAAGTAAAAACAGTAACACAGGATACCAAGCAGGAAGAGGAATGCTTTTGGCTCTGGTGGCTGCCTAATCGTACCTGGTTGAGCAGCACCAGCAGGAATAATCTTACTCCTAGCTATTGGAAAAATAACCTGATGCTGTATTCAGACCACTCCCTATTGTCTCTCTAGTAGAAGAGCTAACCGAGGTCCTGTCAGCATGGACTCCCACCCAGAACATCACAACCTTGAGCAAAGTAGCTATTTTCATTTGAAGCAGGTCTTATAGATAAAAGACTAATACGATAACAGTAGAGAATGAGAGAAGGGTTTTTAATAAGTTATTTTTTCCCCCTTTCTGTTCAAATCATGTTTTAATCATTGTTCCTAAGCATTACTGCCCTGTGCTCCAGGAACATATAGATTAAAGATTTAGTCTGCGTTGTTGATTTGAACCCAGGATAAGAAGAGAAGCCAGAAGGAATACCAGAGGGCAATCATGTCCCAGAATGATTGTGACACTGTACCTCAGTGGGACACAAAATGTATCCCCGGACGACAGCCATAAAACTCGGAGGCAAGGATGTAATGATGCAGATCGATTGCTACCCAGAGCGGTATAAGAGTTCTAACTGCATGGGGGGGCGGCGGGGGGAGACAGCCTTTCAGAGAAGGGTTCTTGCTGCCTTCCAGATGTGTCCATAAAACATATATAGATTCTTACCCCGTCTCTGATATTGGCTACAGTGACTGGTGGTTGGACTTTTGTCCAGTAACAAAATGAGCAACAAAAAAGTGGAAAGACTACATGTACCATGTCAAAGTTGGGACTCCTTGGAGACTTGGAAAAACAAGGCTCTCACAAGTTGTACTGTGAATGGTATGGCCATGATCTGTGCATTCATTCTCACATCCCTCCTCGCTCCCCCATCAGCAGGCCTAGGGTAGCTATTTACAAAGCTGGCTAAGACAGGAAGCTTTGCAGAGAACTGGGAATTTGGTTGACAGATGAGGTCTGGATTTGATGACAAGTTCAATGCGCAGAGATGTTTCCCAGAGGCAACTACCTGGGTGAAAGCGAAGCCTTTTTCGCTCCTTTCTGGGAGAGGATGAGGGTGTCACTGTCTTGGATGCCATAGCTCACAAAATCTGACTGATCCTGCAGGACTTGGCCTCTGAACTGGAGCTGCTGCTGTTTTCTGAGCAGCCCCAGCTTGTCTTCAATTTGATATTTCAGGCTCAGGATGAAGTTGTTGGGATCTACGGCATAGGCGTGGCTCCCACCATCTGGATTCTTCACAAAGACCTGGATCTCAGGGGCGAATGTCTCCAGCAGATAGATGCGGATGTTGGAGAAGACCCCATAATAGGCCAGGGAGCATTGGCTGCTGAGGAGCTGCCGTTCACCGCCGGGCTCCTGGAAGGACAGACGCTGCAGGCCTGAGTAGCCACGGCTTTGCCGGATTTTCTCCTTCATCTTCTTTATGGACCCATAAGGATCTACCCAGAAGATCAAATCCAAGTAACCACACTGCTCCACTGTCACTTGGATATCCCGTGCCTTCTGAAAGGGAGAGAGAAGGAGTTGTGTTAAGTCCATGTTTCTCTATCTGACATTCAGAAGTTTCCTTCACCTCTCCTCATTTTTTCAACAATAGCACCACCAGCAGCATTTGTTTTTGTTATGTGCTGTTGAGTTGGTTCTGACTCACAGTGACCCTGTAAAGGATTCCGAGGATCAGCTGGTGAGTTTGAACCATCAACCTGTGGTTCACACCAACCTTCCAACCCAGCGCACTAACCCACAGTACCACACCCTCTGTAATCTCAGCCACCATTTCAGCTTCTGCTTACTATCTTCTTCAGGTAGATCAGTCTGTTGTTCCTGAACACATCTTGCTTCTTCCTACCTCCAGGCCATTGCCCCACCTGTATAGAAAGCCCTCTGTTCTGAGCTTCTAGATCCCTTCCCAGATTGTAGGGCTCACCTTAAGCCCTTACTTTTTCCTGGAGTTTTCTCTGGCCCTAACTTAAACTTCAGATGACATTTATTCTCCATTTCCAGAGCCCAACAAAGACCTGAGTGTGAATCCTAGCTCTGCTGATTCTTAGCAGTATCATCTTGTTTAATTAACTTAACTGCTCTCAGCTTCAATTTCCTCATCTGTAAAAGGGGGTTGATGATGATGATAAAAACAATCCTTGACCTCTCTATAGATATGCTGCAAGGACCAATTGAGACAGTGTCTGGGCAAATACTTTACAAACTGTAAAGTGTGATGTGGAAGTGATCGATAATTATGATCTTGGCCTCTACCATAGGTTTGGGATTATATTATAATATTATTTAGCATTCTGTGCTTTCTGATTATCTTGTCTTCTTTGGTAATTCTTTTAAGTTGCTTTATGCAAGTTCATTTCATGGACTAGTTTCTTGGCAAATTATGGTGGACTGCTTGAGGACAGGCACCAAGCTCTATTTCTGTCAAATAGCATGGCATTAAACAGAGCTGCTGCACAAGACTTCTTAAAAGTGCTGAAGAACAAAGCTGCCACTTTGAGGACTAAGGCATGCCTGACCCAAGTCATGGTATTTTCAATAGTCTCATATGCATGTGAAAGTTGGACAGTGAATAAGGAAGACTGTAGAAGAATTGATGCTTTTGAGTTATGGTGTTGGAGGAGAATATTGAAAGTGCCATGGGTTGCCAAAAGAACCAACAGATCTGTGTTGGAAGAAGTGCAACCAGAGTGCTCCTTAGAAGCCAGGATGGCCAAACTTCGTCACTCACACTTCAGACCTATTATCAGGAGGGACCAGTCTCTGGAGAATGACATCATGTCTGGTAAAGTGGAGGGTCAGTGAAAAAGAGGAAGACCCCATGAGATGGATTGGCACAGTAGCAGCAGCAATGGACTCAAGTGTAGCAACGGTTGTGAGGCTGGTGCGGGACTGGACAGTGTTTCATTCTGTTGTGCACAGGGTCATTATGTGTCAGTACCGATCGATGGCACCTAACAACAACAGTCCCAGTTCTGGCACAAAACAATGGATTGAGTTGACTTGGCTGGGGTCAGCTCAACAAAGGATGTTTGGGAGAGTGTAAATGTTTCTTGGGGAGGTTATGGTAAAGAGAAAAAGGAGAAAGGAAATGTAGAGATAAGAAGCCTGAAGCTCAGAGAGTTAAATCGTTTTCCCAAGTTCACAAAGCTAGTGAGTGGTGCAACTGAGTCTCAAACCAAGTCTGATGCTAATGTTCTGTTGGCTGTTAGCCCCTCCCTGATGGCCTGGAGAGGAGCTATTACCTTCACATTCCAGCTGGGGACTGGATAGTCCTGGTTGTCGTAGCAACAGTCCTGTTTCAAGCACTGGCAGGCCCTCTGAGCAACTATGTCCCACCTGTACCCTTCTGCCACATTACAGGTAGGGTCAGCGGGATCCAGGATGATGGGTCTGCAACACAGAGAAAGGGTGCCCGGGTTCTTTTTGCTTTGGAGGCCTGCCAGCCAGAAAGAAGCCTTCTCAGCAAGCCATTGGGTCCAGGATCACCCCAAAATATCATGAGTTACAAGAGCTCCTCTTGGAGAGAGTACTCTGAGTCTTTGCTCAAGATTTTGGGGGTGTGGTGAGGCCCCAAAAGGCATGCTGGAGCAATAGCAGATGCCAAGTCAGGCAGGTAGGTCAAGGAGAGAGAGGTGGGGCATGGCAGCTTTTGCTAAAATGTTTATGCTGTGTGTATTTAAGTGCTGCCCAGTGGATTCCAATTCATAGCAACCCTGTATAAGGTTCCAAGGAGCAGCTGGTGAGTTTCAACTGACGACTTTTGGTTCACAATGACCTTACGGTCCAGCGCTTTATCCCACAGCACCACACCACAATAGTGAATATTTATCTGGTATCTTGTTGGGTGCCATCGAGTCAATTCTGACTCTTAACCACTGTGTCCCCAGGGCTCCTTGTGGAAACTATTTGATACAAAACAAATCAACCCAGTTGCCATGGAGTTGATTCTGACTTCTGGCAACATAATATGAGTCAGAGTAGAACTGCGCTCTACAGGATTTTCAATGACTAATTTTTCAGAAGTAGATCACCAGACTTTCTACTGAGGCACCTCAAGATGGACTCACATTTCTATTAGTAGCCAAGCACTTAACTGTTTGCATCACCCAGGGACCCCACTACTTAATAAAACCCACCCATAATCGAGTTCTGGTATGGCGCTGTAGGATAAGCACTGGGCCACAAGGTCAGTGTGAACCTGGAGGTCAGTGATTCCAATGTACCAGCAACTCCTTGAAAACCCCATGCTGAGTGTGCATCCACTCAACAGCACATAACAGCAGTAACAGCAACAACAACATAATGCCATATACAACCTTTCCCTCCAATCTTTCTTTTCTTGATGAGACATGGTGGGCAGACCATGGTCCAGTACCTCTGTTTCTTGAGCTGCTTTTGGACAAAGTTCTCAATGACTGGGTTCTGGAAAGTGTAGTACTTGGTCCAGTAGATGCAGACAAACTCATATGCCTGGAGCAGTTCCATCACAGTGGTAAGGCCTTGATCCAAACAGAAATTCTCACTCTCTTTAGTACCCACTTCCCAGGCATAGATGGTCAGTAACTCCAGGGCATAGACATGGGGCAAGTTCGCCTTAGGGCACTTGGCTTTCACATACTGTTGAAAGAGAAGGGAGAAAGAGAAATACAGACCCCAAAATCTTGTTTCAGAAAAGCAATGGAGCAAAAGCTGGAATACCCAAGTTCTAGTCCTAGTGTGGTGCTGTGGAATAATGCACTAGATCACAAGGTTGGTTTGAACCACAAGGTCAGCGGTTCAAACTCACCAGCCACTCCCCGGAAACCCTATACAGGGTTGCTGTGAGTCGTAATCAACTAGATGATGCTTAACATCAACAATCACTTTATAGTCCAATGCATGAATGCACCTTAATTTCTAGAACTAGTACCTTCTTGACAGATTTTTATGATGCGAAGTGCCATCCAGTGGCCACACCACGAGTCCAAAACATCAGTCCTACCAAGCGATTTTTTTTAATTATAAAAAAAGGAAAAATCTGGTATATATCATATATTTGATATAAAAGTACTTTATGGTTTTTCCTAAGTCTAGTTTGAGATACTATTTTAAATGGACTTCTGAGAAGAGTTTCCTTTATGGAAAGGACTAACCAGCTAAAGGGGAAAAAATGGAAACCACCAAAAAAACCCCAACCAAATGCACTGCCACCAAGTCAGTTCTAACTGCTCCTTAGAATTTCTGAGGCTGTCAGTCTTGACGGGAGCAGATAGCTTCATCTTTCTCCTTTGGAGCAGCTTGTGGGTTTAGAACCTCCAACGAATGTGCCACCACCTAACAGCTGTGTTAACCCTGTGGTAAGCATTGGGTTGCCTCTCGAGTGAACATCCCTTCTTTCCCCTTCCATGCTGTTTGGATGACATTGATTCCACCCTCTGTCTCATCTGCATAAACCTATTCTCTTGGCCTACTGATTGGTTCAAATGCAATCACAGGTGATTCAATTACAGTAAAGCCCAGCTGTTAGGATCAGTGGTTGGTTGAAGGAAGAGAAGCCTTCTCTGGTGTGATGTGAGGTCAGAAGCATCTATGGCCATTTTGCCACCATGAGGAAGAAAAAGAACACAGCCTTCAAAAGTTTGTGGAAAAATGCCATTATCTTTCAATTTTTCCATGAGCTTTTTTTTTGTCGTCCCTGCTTGCGGCTTACTTAGGCTTCTTGTATGGAGCAAAAGGTAAAGAATTCACAAATACCACCATTAAAGCATGTGTTTCAAATTAACACCAGACTTCAGTTTTCAAAACAATTTCTTTACAATTCAGCAAATAGCAGCAGAAGACATGTCAGTTAATTCTTCAGAGAAGTCGCATGATGACTGCATCCTAGGGACTTCTTTGTGGTGAATTTGAGAGGGGGAACAAAAAAAGAAAAATGATCTTTTCCATTCCAAATCCTGGAAGTAAGCTATAGAGAATGAGGATCCCTATCTGAAGAACATGGAAAGTGGCTCCAGACAACAGAGAAATATTTGCCAAGTCCTGAGTTCAGAATTTTGTTTTCTTTGAGATAAAGAAAATATAAAAGCACTTCAAGGCCAAGGAAAATGTTCTTAAGATGAAGAAGGCCCATAAGCAATCAGAAGCAGGCCTACTCTCTATGACACGCCTAACTCAGCCATCTTTCTTCCTTCTCAAATCCGCCAATCCATGAACTTTTCGAAGCCCCCTTGTACGTATATTTGTGTGTTTATGGATGAGCGTGCCTCTTGGAACACAACCCTATAAGATGGGGAGTTGAAGTGACCAATAAATTTTGTGCTAAGTTTATATTTGACCCCCGATTGAATTTAGATTAGTCAAGTTTCTAGTTCGCTTTCTCTTTATGAACATAAATTAAAAAAAAAAAAAATTTTACAAAAGTACAATCTGGTTATTATAGAACCTATCTGTAGAGAGGAGGGAGCGCTGTGGCTCAGTATGATACGCACTGGCCTTCGAACCACAAGGTCCACGGTTCGAGCCCGCCAACCACTTGGAGGAAAAAGATAAGACTTTCTGCTCCCACGAAGATTAAAAGCCTCTGAAACCCTATACAGGGTCACTATAAGTTGGAATGGACTCGAAGGTACTTAACAATAGCATTTGTGGACAGTTACCTTCCCCATCCTGCTCTCTAGGAACATTTGGAGAGTTGTTCTTATACAGTGTCTAGGTGAGTTGATCCCGACTCACAGCGAGCCTGCATAGGGCTTCCAAGGAGCTGCTGGTGGGTTTGAACTGCCGACCTTGTGGTTAGTAGGCCACTGTTATCCTACACCACCACATCAGAGTAAATGACCGATATTACTACATAAACAAATTATACCATGGAAATGAGTCAGAATTTCACCCGAGTTCTGGTGTGGTGCAGTGGAAAAAAATCACTGGACCACAAGGTTGGTTGGCTTGAACCACAAGTTTCGTGGTTCACACTCACCAGTCGCTCTTTGAAAACACTACACAGCATCACTACGAGTCTGGACTGACTTGATGGCACTCAAACACAATCATAATTTAATCCCAAAGCATTTAAGACTGCTTAAGGAGCTCTGGTAGCGTAGTGGTTACGAATCGGGCTGCGAACCTTAAGGTCAGCGGTTCGAAACTACCAGCTGCTCCGCGGGAGAAAGATGAGGCTTTCTACTCCCGTAAGGATTTACACCCTCGGAAACCCTGTACAGGGTCGCTATGGGTCGGACCCGACTCGATGGCACTTAACAACAACAACAACAACAACCAAACACCAAGAGCTCTGGTAGCGTAGTGGTTACGAATCGGGCTGCGAACCTTAAGGCCAGCGGTTCGAAACTACCAACCGCTCCGCGGGAGAAAGATGAGGCTTTCTACTCCCGTAAAGATTTACACCCTCGGAAACCCTGTACAGGGTCGCTATGGGTCGGAACCGACTCGATGGCACTTCACAACAACAACAACCAAACACCAAAGGACAGAGCTGGTTATTTAGGTTAATGTCCTATTTTGATGAATATATGAGAAAGTCCCCTTTTTTCTTAACCTGTCGCCAGTCTGTTAATTTCCCTCACCTGCCGGTACCAGTGTTTTACCAGCCTCAGGAGGTTTTTCAGTTTAGCTGGCTGATATTTCACAAAGTTTCTCCGTAGCTCACTGAAGGACGAAGAGAAATTTCCAGGGCAATCATGGGCCTGGGCCTTAATTAGATGAACGTAGACTTCAGGTGGTGGTAGAGAGCAGGAATTCAAAGGCCCTGAGGAGACAGGAAGCAAAGGGAGAGAGTAGGGAGCTTGCAGGTCTTCAGAGTACCAGGCGAGGTCTGCTGATTCATTAGTATTTCCTTTCTAGAGCCCTCAGAGACAGAATGTTTGACCTATTGAATTGTCCTTCTGGTGCAATTCTTTCTCTAGACAGCTGAAATGTCCATTCTGGCCCTTTGTATGGATATTTTGGATTGGTTGTCTCCCTTGATTTCTCCAACACCCTTAGCTTTTCTTAATGTCTGTTTTGCAACTCTCTCTCTGTGATTCTTTTAACCTCCAAACACCTGTAGGGGAGAATCATTCCAGAAAAGAAAGTTGGGTTCAGAGAAAGAACCAGTTCAGGAGAAGAACACTGGGGTCAAAGGAAGTACACCCATGACAGACATCACTATTCCATCTCCATACTCCTTCCTGGCAGGATTGGCTGCTATTTCTGACACTTTGGCCCCATAGCAACTCCAGACAGCCATTACAGTTATTAAGAGCTGGCACATGAGGTAAAACTTATTTTTTATCTAGGGTTGTAGCAGTAATTGTTTAATTCAAACAACTAGGAATCTGCCTGAGGGCACACAAGAAGTGCCAAAGAGTCCATGCCGTGAGGAAGTATTCTTCAGCCCATGACTGATGGAAGTTGATGGAGGAACACTCCAGCTGGCAGATAAATACTCTCTCTTGGGATAATGAAGACTGATCTACATTGGGACCTAGAATTTTCCAGGGGCATGAAGTCAATTTGAGTTGCTCCACAATACACTCCTCTTAAAAAAAAAAAAATTATTATTGTGAATTGGGTGAGGGCTTATAAAGCCTATCAGTTTTCCATTCAGCAATTCATAGACATTGTGTTTGATGCCATTGACTGCGTCCCTTCCCCCCTGTGTTTCCCATTTCTGTTACTTCTTCTCTCTTAATCCATTTTAACTTTGTCAATGAAAGGTAAATAAATACTGCCCTTTTGATTTCAAATGGTTGATAATTCTAAGGTGTGCATACCTCCCTAATGCTACTGTTTCTTTCATAGACCTGTCTGTAGGATAAGCACTGGATTGTTAGCCACAAAATCAGTGCAAACCCACCCACTAAGGTTTTCTGCTCCTGTAAAGACTGACAGCCTTGGACGTCGTATACAGGGCCACTGACATCATAGATCTGTGGACTGTTGGCTGAAAATTGAGTCACAGGGGTGGGACAGCTTCAGTTCCAGACCTGAAGGATGCTTAATTCATCCTTTTTCAATTCTCAGCTTCCCAACCATTGTTTCCTGGGATCATCTCCCACAAAATTGCTTGTCTTCAGATTTTTTGTGTCTGGAATGGCTCCTGGGAGAACCCAAACAAGTACAGGGTCCTACACCCATTTTAGACGGGACAGAAACCACCGTTATAGCTCCTTCTCCTGGTTGGTTCTCAGTGTTTCCCAAGTCCCCTTCTGGTCCACTCTTTCTGTGGTTACTCAAGATACCCCACTCTTGTCCTTTGAAGACTTTATCCCCATTTGCAATCATCTGTGGTTCTTACTTAAATTTCTATTTTCCCTGGTGAGCTCCATGATGACCAGGGTTGGTTTATTACTGTGAAGTGCCATCCCCAACCCCAGCCCAGGACATGAATGAATGCATAAAGGTTTCTTCATGGAGCATGACTGATGGGTGAGGGAGCTCCCCTCCACTTACCCAGAGCTCTGTATGCAGGCACAATGGTGAAGGTGATGAGCTCTGCTATCCCCTTGGTCCGGATGGTGAAGACAAGAGTGCTGGGGCTCCTCTCGGCCACCCCCAGTTCCTCTAGCCCAAGGGCCAGCAGGTTCCCACAATGACACAGCCTTTTCCGTATCAGATGCAGAACAGCGTGGTGGTACTTGGTTTCCTCTTGGAAGCTATGGAAACAGCTCAGGAACACCACCAACTCCACCTCAGCAACACTCCTGAGCACCGTGCCATTCCCAAAGGAGTCCGCCTGCACAAGAAAACCTGTCACCCTGTGGCCATTTCTGCATCCAGGCTGTCCCTTACCTACTTTACACATATTATCCTGCTGTAGAAGGAGCTGTGGTAGCGTAGTGGTTACAAATCGGGCTGCTAACCTCAAGGTCGGCAGTTCAAAACTACCAGCTGATCTGCGGGAGAAAGATGAGGCTCTGCTCCCATAAAGATTTACAGCCTCGGAAACCCTGTGCAGGATCACTATGAGTCGGATCCAACTCCACGGGTACTTAACAACAACAATCCCACTGTAGGGCACCTAGGTGTCACAAATGGTTATGCACTAGCTGAAATGCTGACAGTTTAAAACCACCTAGAAGCACCTAGGAGTCCTGGTGTGGCACTGTAGGATCAGCACCACACTGCTAACCACAAGCCTGGGGGTTCAAACCCACCAGCTGCCCATTGGAAAACTTATTACAGGGTACTTGTGAGTTGGAACCGACTCGACAGCAGTTAGCAAGAATAACTCAGAGGTACCTAGGAAGATAGGCCTGATGCTCTGCTCCCAAAAGTCATCAGATAGGGTTTCTGAAAGCCCTATAGAGCACAGTTCTACTCTGAAACACATGGGGTTGCCATGAGTTGGAATCAACTACACACTTACCACAACCCTAAGAACTAATCTCCCTGCTTGACAAATGAGAATACTAAAATGCTGAGAAGATCTTATAGTATCAGGATTTGATCTAGGGAGCCTGTCTCCAGGGTAAAGACTACAGAACACAACGTCTGAGCCTAAATTTTCTCATGGGCAACGTGAGAATAGTAATGTCTGCTTTATAATCTCACTTTGAGGGTTTTGAGAAGTCTGGGTAATTCCAAGGAGGCCTGGTGGCACAGTGGACTAAGCCTTGGGCTGCTGAGGAAGAGATTGGTCGTTTGAATCCAGCAGCTATTACTCAGGAGAAAGATAAGGTGACCTGCTTTGGAAAAGATTTACAGCCTTGGACCCGTAGGGAGTGACTTTACCCAGTCCTGTAGAGTTGCTTGGAGTCAGAATCCACTGAAGTTGAGTTTGGGTAGTTTGGCCATGACACTAAAAATGAGAAGCAGGGTTGTCTGTGGAATGGAAAAGCCTGACGCTGACCAGAACTCCTGCCCCTGTTTCTTAGCTGTGTACGCATCCGAAGTGATATGTCCCTCTATAAAATCAGGGTAATGACAGAACACGAGTCATTGGTTTATGGGAGGATTCGATGACGCGTTGGCACACAGGAAGGAAGCAATTCCTTTCTCCTCCTCCTCTAGGCTTTGCCACCATCATCACCTGTGGACCATCCCACACACTGCCTGGGTCTCAGTTTCCCCATCTGTACAGGAAGGAGCCTGAGCAGGATGATTATGAAAAGACGTTTTTGATGTTTTGAGAGTCCAGGCCTAGTCTCCAGCCCCTGTTACCTTCAGGATCAAAAAGCCCCACAACTCTTCTGCCTCCCTGCTTACTCAGAGGTGGAAGTGATAAGGATATGTCACACCTCAGGACTTTGCTTGGCCACATCTTCTGGTGGGTGAAGTCGTTTATCACTGGACTTGAACTATAGTCCAGCTCTCGTGTCAGGTACCACTGAAAGCCTTTACACACATTACTATTATAATTGCCTCCAGTTTACCAGTGGCCTTCAACTCATGGTGACCCATGTGATTCAGAGTAGAGCTGTGATCCATCAAGTTTTCTTTTTTCTTTGCTTAAATATTTAGTTGTTTAATTTGGGGGTAGATGGGAAGGTAGCATACATGTTGGGTACAGAATTCAAAAGGTATAAGAAGATACAGTAAAAATTCTCCTTTCTCCTTCAATTCCCTGTTACTCCTGCCTGTGGGTAACCAAAATCATCAGAGATTTTGGTATGTATTTTTCAAGATTTGCCTGTATGTACAGGCATATAAGTATGTGCTGCTTTTGACACAAAGGGAGCACACTTGGAACACTATTCTGTATCTTGCTTCCACAGGACTTTCAATACCTGGACCTTTTGGAACTAGATCACCAGGCTTTTCTTCTGAGGCACCTCTTGGTGGATTTGAACCACGAACATTTTGGTTAGTAGCCAAATGCTTAACTAACCATTTGCACCACCATCCAGTTTACAGAGGAAAAAGTAAATCCGGTTTACTCATAGACATCATGAGTTCAATCAACTTGCCAAAGTCTCCTAACCTGGGGGCAGTGGAGTCCGATGAAGTTTGAACACACAGACAGACTGTGGAACTTCCACCTCTTCTTTCCCCAAAACCCAGTCTGTGAGTCAAGTGTTGATTCGGAGAGGGATCTTTCTTCCCCTCCTTTTCCATTCTCTTACTCCACTGGCATCCAGACTCAGTGTGAGAGGGTTGGGAAGGCCACATCTCCCTGAAGGTTGCTTCTAGACTGTATTTTCTGCCCTTTCCACTGGAAAGGTCCATGCAGGGAGAAAAGAACGAGTCAGACTAGGCTTCATGATGTGCTTCATCACTGGGGAGTGGATTGTAACGCATGGCATAACTTGATGTGGTACAGAGTAGAACAGAGCCATTGGATTTTCTTGGCTCTCATCTTTTTACAGAAGCAGATCTCCAGGCCTCTTCTTCCTTGGCCTCTGGTTGGGTTCAAAACACGAGTCGTCTGGTTAGTAGTTAGATGAAAACTGTTGATGCCACCCAGAGAGCTACTTGAGGTTAACTTGTTCTAGGATAGCTTCCACTCCTGTGTATTAACCCGGCTCATCAGACTTTCTGTGCAGGGACTTAGATTCCATAAAGGATTGGCCATTGCTCTTGGGATTCCTCTAGCATTTAACTATCTCCAGGAGGGAAAGTGGTTATACTCTGTGAGCAGGATTTGAGGGCTGGGTAAACATCACTTCCTACTTGTGACGCTGTGGGCTAATGCGTCAGACTGCAAAGTCATTTGAACTGCAAGGTCAGGGGTTCAAGCTCACCAGCTTCTCCTTGGAAACCCTATATAGGGTCGCTATGGGTCAGAATTAACTCTATGGCACTTAACAACAACAACCATCAAATCTTAAGGCAGCAGTATGGTGGGATACACAGGTGTCCTTAGATGTTAGCAGTGTAGGCTAGGAATGACAGGGAAAGGATCATTATCAGTGTTACAACCCCTCATGCTGAGGATGGAATAGATGAGTCTTACCTTGACCACCTTCAGCACCCGTACCTCCTGGTTCAGCCACTGCTCACACTGGAAGCTGGAGTGGAAGTCCCGCAGGAACTGCTCCACGGTTCGCACAACCCCCATCACCTTTTCCTTCCATTCCTGGTTGGGCAGCAGCCACTGAGCCACGAAAGAGTCTAGCCTGGAGGCAGGGGTGTCATATAGTTCCTGAGCCAGCGCCATCTCCACTCCAGAGTACCACTGCTGAAGAGATACAGCCACACACCTGTCCAGCTCACTGACAGACACACATCTACTTTGTTAAGGGGGCTCCTTTTCAGCTGACCTACAGCACACTTTGGGGTAAAGGACTGGAACAGAGAGGAAGCCAGTGGTAATTGACATGATCTGAGGCTTCTCTCCTAGGAGCCCTTCGCTGTGGCAGTGGCACTGAGGGTCACTGATCTGACCCTGGAAGTGTAGGGCCACCTTAAAAAGCCTGGCTTCCAGTCAACCTGCTTACTGTTGGTTTCGATTCTGGTTTCGATTCTCAACTTTTTGAGTTTCCCTTTTTATGAGATTTGGAAACTGAAATTGGAAATTGAAATTGAAATTGCCCATTGATGATACAACTCTGCCAGTAGGTTAAAGTTAAATGGCAATCCAACCATTCCATTTTGAAATAAGGAGAGTGAGGCTCAGAAACAGAAGAGAGTTGTTCAGGGTGGGGATAAGAAGTGAGAAATCCAGAGTCAAACAAAATAAAAGTGGAATTCCAGTCTGCCTTTTACAGGGCTCCCTCTCTCTTTCTCCATTTTTTTTTTTTTTTTTCCTATTTTAAATCCTGATTTTTATTTTAAAACATAATAACATCTTTTCATGTCAATAAATGTTCCTCCACAGCATCATTTTTACTGATAAGAAGTGACTTCTGCCCTTTTGTTTTTTGTTTTTTTGAGTGGCTTAGGTCCTTTTGTACTCAGGCTTTTGTGTTTTGCCGGGTTATTGTATTTTTGGTTCCCTTTCCCTTTCCTTTTGTGTATGTATTTTTTACGTATTTTCTTAGTGGTTACTATGAATATTACATTTGAGAGTTTGTCTGAAAGGGATCACATTAGGTCTTTTTTTTTTTTAACCTTTTTTTTATGTTTTATTGTGAATTATGTGATAGTTTACATGAGAGAACATTAGTTTTACATTCATCCTATCGTATATCATTTCATTGCATGGTTACAATCCCCTCCATGCATCATCAACCAACCTGAGGGGTATATCCTACAAGCCTGTCCCCCGCTCCCCCACATTCCCCGCAACCCCCCACCCTGCCAGTCCTCAGCACACAGCCCCTCTCCCTCTCTGGGTCTAAAGTCCCCAGCTACTCCATCTCTCCACATCTTCTTCTCTGCCTCCATCTCAC